CCCCGAAAAGTTACTGCGTGAAATCAAAGTATTTCTCACAAAGAAAAATGTTTTATCAGTAACTTGTCGTATGTAACAATTTTGCCTATCAAAAAAATTGCTAAGAAATAATACTATACTTATCTTAACGTTTCGGAGGCCAAAATCTGCCTCCGTCTTAAAAAATGAACACAAAATTCAAAGATATTTGCAGTTATTCCTTTGCTGATTATTTATTCCTCAACTTCTTCGACGTATATCAAAGGTTTTTTTTATTTTACGCAGTAACTTATTGGGGTTAACTAAAAAGTTTGCCCTTTCTACACTTTTATGAAGTTCTCCAAAAAAGGTGCTAATCAGTTACATTGTGCTGCTACTAAATCAGTATTCATTATATGTGTTGCATTGATGGCCACATATTCAGGTATATTAGAACCTAGTGCCAATGCATTACAATCGAAGACTATCGATATGTACACATATGCGAATCATATTGAGAGAATTATTTCTGTTATTAAAAATCATCGCGGTAACGCAGACAAGGAAAATCAGAATATTTCAGACATTTCACAGAGAACAACAGCTGGATTTGGAACTGATTTGCAAATCCCCCGCATTGCAAGTCGCAAACAACATAAATCCAATCACCCAGCTAAGGATGTATGCGATTTTGAAAGCGATAATTTATGATAGTGATCTTCGGTACCAGAGCACAAGGAATGTACAATTACAGCCTTTTATAATTTTGTAAATGTATTGTGAGTATTGCCAGGAAACAAAATATTTAAAACAATCATATTTTTCAGAGTTTCAAAACCTATGTCATATCATATTTGATGAGGGGAATGGGCGTAAAATGAATTTATTGAAAACACTTTTTCCACACCTGAACAAAAAGATTGTTTGAAGGTGGTTGACAATGTTTCCATAGTACGTTTCAATCGTTCGGACTTCCATTGTCTAATATTATAAAAAATCAATAAAACCAAAGAAATTAGCTAAAAAAACTCTTATAATTTTAATTTTCATTTCATGTTGATTGTTCAATTTTCAATCGTTGCTTGTATTTTATTTCATTGTAATTTTGGTTTTTCTGCTCAACATAAGTGTTATTTTTTGGAATAATCTTTTTAATTTTATTGATTATTTCAGGGATTTCAAATCATTTTATATCATTTTAGACAATGAAAATCCGAACTAATGAAAAAAGACTCTCTCGACGAGCGTTTCGCTAAGTCAGCATCAAGTTACAAATTATCGCCCCATATCGCTGATAACACATCTAACTAAAGTTTTCGAGAAATTACTCAAAAAAAGACTAACATCATTTATCTCAAAATACAATTTAATATCTGATCAACAATTTGGATGTAGAGAAAATATTTCTACCCAAGATGCAATTTTAGCATTATCATCTGAAATATCTTCAGCGCTTGATGAAAATGAGCCGAGTCTCTGCGTTTTCATAGACCTATCGAAAGCGTTTGACACCGTCGACCACACATTGCTTCTACATACAAAGGAAGATAATGGCATAAGGGGTACTCCCTTGAATCTATTTAGGAGCTACCTCACGAACCGAGTACAAACGGTGAGAATAGATGAAATTATAAGCAGTGAGAAGCATATTGATACTGGGATAGCTCAGGGAACGGTTCTTGGACCTACTCTATTCAATCTGTACATAAATGACTTATTCTTTCTAGAAAGTAAAGGAAACATTTTAGGATTTGGAGACAACTCAACAATATTCTATATAAGGCAAATAATTGGCAAGAATTAAAATATATTGTAGAATCAGACTTTGATACAATGAAAAATTGGCTTGAATATTAGTTATTAACTATACATTTGGAGAAAACCCAGTATATGCCATTCAGCTGCAATAGCACGAACAAACCACCCTTTTCCTGTATAGATCTAAGCAATCAACACTTGATTCGTCCTGAAAATAAGGTCAAGCATTTAGGTGTAATTATTGATCCACATTTTAAATAGAATGAACACATAAACTTCATTTGCAAAAAGCTGCGAAGTATTCTACACAAATTCAAAACCTCTAGAGAAATATTCTCCATCCACCACCTGAAAATTCTTTACCTCGCACTAGTAGAAAGTCATTTACGCTATGGAATAGCATGCTGTGGCGGGGCATTTCGAACACACCTTCGTCCTCTGAAAGTACTACAAAATAAATTTCTTAAACTGATACATTCGAAAAGTTCACGCTTTCCTACAGACAATTTGCTTTGTGAAGCCGGTGTTTTTGACATTCGTCAACTCTTTTATTTCAATGTAATTTTTACGTACCACAAGAAAAAAAATTATCTCTTGCCGTCACACAATTACAACACTCGAAAAAAAATCATCATGTTATTCCATCAACACAAAAATCACTTTTGCAGCATACATATACTTACCTGACTCCAAAATTATTCAATACTCTTCCTAATACAATAAAAAACATTAATATATTTCACCACTTCAAAAAGTGATTGTGGCAATTTATATGCAGACAGCCAAGACGAATGATTTCTGATTTTGTTGACAAACAAAATATTTGAAATAAAAGTTTTTATCAATGTAAAAAAATGTGTGAAAGAACAAAATTGTTATTACTTTACAACAGAACCTCAAAATATATTTTAGTACATCAGGATTGTCCATTTTACCTTCTTTATTCATTATAATTTCCAACACACCGCTTATAACATTTGTGTCATTTAAATGTCATACAAACAATCTTATACCAGTCACACGCATCAACCATTTTATTAATTTATAGATACACATTTATATGAATGTGTGCGAATGATTTGTAAATATAAATTTTTAGATTTAGACAAGTCTAATACTCATTGGATTTTTTCATATTTTCGCAATTGTCAGTCAGTATGTTTATTATTTATAAGTTTTATTGCATTGTATTTTCTCGAAACAAGTGCGAGAAACACTTATCGAGTACTCATT